CTTCCCTGTGTGTTTTCATAAATATTTTCATGGTAATGTTTCCGATGATCATTCCTCTTGGTACCTTGATTTGGCTCCAGTAACATTCCCTTTGCCGTAATATGTCTTCCCTGTGTCTTTTCATAAATATTTTTGGTTATTGTTTTGATGAAATGTGGTTCTTGATGGATCAGTTTCCTCTTTGGTTCCTGTGACTTGGCTCCTGATGATCACCTCTTTCCTCTGCCAGTTAATATGTCTTCCCTTTGTCTTTTCATAAATATTTTAATGGAAATTGTTCTGATGATCACTCCTCTTTGGTGCCTTGACTTGGCTCCAGTTTCTTTCCCTCTGCCGTAATATGTCTTCCCTTTGACTTTTCATAAATATTTTCATGGTAATTGTTCTGATGATCACCCTCTTTGGTGCCTTGACTTGGCTCCAATTACTTTCCCTTTGCCGTAATATGTCTTCCCTGTGTCGTTCTATAAATATTTTCATGGTAATTGTTCTGATGATCACTCATCTTTGGTTCCTTGACTTGGCTCCAGTTACTTTCCCTCTGCCGTAATATGTCTTCCCTGTGTCTTTTCATGAATATTTTCTTGGTAAATTGTTCTTTGCCTTGATGGCTCCAGTTTTTTCCCTCTTTGGTGTCTTCCCAAATATTTTAATGGTAATTGTTCTGATGCTCAGTCTTGGGTCCTTTGACCTGGTCCCTTTGCCGTAATATGTCTTCCCTTTGTCTTTTCATAACTATTTCCATGGTAATTGTTCTGATGATCACCCTCTTTGGTGCCTTGACCCTGCTCCAGTTACTTTCCCCCTGCCGTAATATGTCTTCCCTGTGTCGTTTTATAAATATTTTCATGGTAATTGTTCTGATGATCACTCGTCTTTGGTTCCTTGACTTGGCTCCAGTTACTTTCCCTTTGTCGTAATATGTCTTCCCTGTGTCTTTTCATAAATATTTTCATGGTAATTGTTCCGATGATTACTCCTCTTTGGTGCCTTGACTTGGCTCCAGTTACTTTCCCTTTGCCGTAATATGACTTCCGTGTGGCTTTTCATAAATATTTTCATGGTAATTGTTCTTATGATCACACCTCTTTGGTGCCTTGACTTGGCTCCAGTTACATTCCGTCTGCCGTAATATGTCTTCCCTGTGTCTTTTCATAAATATTTTCATGGTAATTGTTCTGATGATCACTTTTCTTTGATACCTTGACTTGTCTCCAGTTACTTTCCCTTTGCCGTAATATGTCTTCCCTGTGTGTTTTCATAAATACTTTCATGGTATTTCTTCTGATGATCACTCCTCCTTGGTGACTTGACTTGGCTCCAGTTACTTTCCCTTTGCCGTAATATGTCTTCCCTGTGTCGTTTTATAAATATTTTCATGGTAATGTTTCCGATGATCATTCCTCTTGGTGCCTTGACCTGCCTCCTGTTACTTTCCCTTTGCCGTAATATGTCTTCCCTTTGTCTTTTCATAAATATTTCCATGGTAATTGTTCTGATGATCACCCTCTTTGGTGCCTTGACCCTGCTCCAGTTACTTTCCCTCAACCCTAATATGTCTTCCCTGTGTCGTTTTATAAATATTTTCATGGTAAATGTTCTGATGATCACTCGTCTTTGGTTCCTTGATTTGGCTCCAGTTACTTTCCCTCTGCAGTAATATGTCTTCCCTGTGTCGTTTTATAAATATTTTCATGGTAAATGTTCTGATGATCACTCGTCTTTGGTTCCTTGATTTGGCTCCAGTTACTTTCCCTTTGCAGTAATATGTCTTCCCTGTGTCGTTTTATAAATATTTTCATGGTAATTGTTCTGATGATCACCGTCTTTGCGCCTTGATTTGTCTCCAGTTACATTCCCCTCTGCAGTTAATATGTCTTCCTGTGTCTTTTTATAAATATTTTCATGGTAATTGTTCTGATGATCACTGTCTTTGGTTCCTTTGATTTGGCTCCAGTTACTTTCCCTTTGCCGTAATATGACTTCCGTGTCTTTTTTATAAATATTTTCATGGTAAATGTTCTGATGATCACTGTCTTTGGTGCCTTGATTTGGCTCCAGTTACTTTCCCCTTTGCCGTAATATGTCTTCCCTGTGTCTTTTCATAAAATATTTTCATGTTTCCGATGATCATGTTCTGCCTTGATGCCTCCGTTACCTCTTTGTCAAAATATGCCTTCCCTTTGTCTTTTCATAAACATTTTCGTTTGTTCTGATGATACCCTCTTTGGTGCCTTTGACCTGCTCCAGTCTTTTCATGAATGTCTTATCGTTTTCATCATGGTAATTGTTCTGATGATCACTCCTCTTTGGTTCCTTGACTTGTCTCCAGTTACTTTCCTCTGCCGTAATATGTCTTCCTGTGTTTTTCATAAATATTTTCGAGGTAATTGTTCTGATGGTCACACGCTTTGCGCCTTGATTTGTCTTCAGTTATATTCCCTCTGTCGTAATATGTCTTCCTGTGTCTTTTCATAAATATTTTCATGGTAATTGTTCGGAGTTACTTTCCTTGGCTTCATTACTTTCCTTTCCTGTAATATGTCTTTTCATAAATATTTTCATGGTAATTGTTCTGATGATTCCTCTTGGTGCCTTTGACTTGGCTCCAGTTACTTTCCCTTTGCCGTAATATGTCTTCCGTGTGGCTTTTCATAAATATTTTCATGGTAATTGTTCTTATGATCACACCTCTTTGGTGCCTTGACTTGGCTCCAGTTACATTCCGTCTGCCGTAATATGTCTTCCCTGTGTCTTTTCATGAATATTTACATGGTAATTTTTCTGATGATTTCCTTGGTACCTTGACTTGTCTCCAGTTATTCCTTGCCGTAATATGTCTTCCTGTGTGTTTTCTGGCAACATTTTCATGGTAATTGTTTACACCCGCTTTGCATTTGAATTAATATGTCTTCATGTAATATGTCTTCCTGTGTCGTTTTATAAATATTTTCATGGTAAATGTTCTGATGATCACCCTCTTTGGTTCCTTGACTTGGCTCCAGTTACTTTCCCTCTGCCGTAATATGTCTTCCCTGTGTCGTTTTATAAATATTTTCATGGTAATTGTTCTGATGATCACACGTCTTTGGTTCCTTGACTTGGCTGGTTCTTTCCCTCTGATGTAATATGTCTTCCCTGTGTCCCTTGTAATATTTCAGATGATCATTCCTCTTGTACCTTGATTTGTCTTCCTTTTTAATATGTCTTTGTCTTTTTCAAATATTTTCATGGTAAATATTCTGATGATCACCCTCTTTGGTGCCTTTGACCCTGCACCAGTTACTTTCCCTCAGCCGTAATATATCTTCCCTGTGTCGTTTTATAAATATTTTCATGGTAATTGTTCTGATGATCACTCCTCTTTGGTACTTTGATTTGGCTTCAGTTACATTCCCTTTGCCGTAATATATCTTCCCTGTGTCTTTTCATTAATATTTTCATGGTAATTGTTCTGATGATCACTCGTCTTTGGTGCCTTGACTTGGCTCAACTTACTTTCCCTCTGCCGTAATATGTCTTCCCTGTGTGTTTTCATAAATATTTTCATGGTAATTATTCCGATGATCACTCCTCTTTGGTGCCTTGACTTGGCTCCAGTTACATTCCCTTTGCCGTAATATGTCTTCCCTGTGTCTTTTCATAAATATTTTCACGGTAATTGTTCTGATGATCACCCTGTTTGGTGCCTTGACTTGGCTCCAGTTACATTCCCTCTGCCGTAATGTGTCTTCCCTGTGTCTTTTCATAAAAATTTTCATGGTTATTGTTCTGATGATCACTCCTCTTTAGTACCTTGATTTGGCTCCAGTTACATTCCCTTTGCCGTAATATGTCTCCCCTGTGTCTTTTCATAAATATTTTCATGGTAATTGTTCCGATGATCACACCTCTTTGGTGTCTTGACTTGGCTTCAGTTACTTTCCCTTTGTCGTAATATGTCTTCCCTGTGTCTTTTCATAAATATTTTCATGGTAATTGTTCGGATGATCACTCCTCTTTGGTACCTTTACTTGGCTTCACTTACTTTCCTTTTGCCGTAATATGACTTCCGCGTGGCTTTTCATAAATATTTTCATGGTAATTGTTCTTATGATCACACCTCTTTGGTGCCTTGACTTGGCTCCAGTTACATTCCGTTTGCCGTAGTATGTCTTCCCTGTGTCTTTTCATAAATATTTTCATGGTAATTGTTCTGATGACCACTCCTCTTTGGTACCTTGACTAGGCTCCAGTTACTTTCCCTTGACGTAATATGTCTTCCCTGTGTGTTTTCATGAATATTTTCATGGTAATTGTTCTGATGATCACTCCTCTTTGGTACCTTGACTTGTCTCCAGTTACTTTCCCTTTTCCGTAATATGTCTTCCCTGTGTGTTTTCATAAATACTTTCATGGTATTTGTTCTGATGATCACTCCTCTTTGGTGACTTGACTTGGCTCCAGTTACATTCCCTTTGCCGTAATATGTCTTCCCTGTGGCTTTTCATATATATTTTCATGGTAATTATTCTGATGATCACTCCTCTTTGGTACCTTGACTTGTCTCCAGTTACTTTCCCTCTGCTGTAATATGTCTCTCCTGTGTCTTTTCATAAATATTTTCGTGGTAATGTTTCGGATGAACTCTTCGGTATGGTATTTAAGTGCAGTACTACATTGGCTGCAAGATGTCGTGATTTTACAGCTGAAATATCTAAATGTAACCGTAAGTTCTATGCTAACAGTTTCTTCTTTCGCACTTCTCACTTCTGGAACTCTCTTCCGGCTACTTGTTTTCCAGTTAACTCTGATCTTCGAAAATTAAAAAAAAAAATATTCTGTAACCTCCCCTCCTTTTCGTCTTAGTGGCTGTATTCCCTTACTTGAAATGATAAATAAATGTCTCAGACCTGCGTTATTGAAGTTTTAATGTAAAGCGCGGCATATGCGCAACTGACACCAACCTTCAAACCAAGAGTTTACATGTTATGATAGTCTGAGTTGGGTCAATAAGAATAATGATCCGATGTCGTAGATCTTCTATTGTAGTTTCCTTCTCGATAGATGACCGAGATGACCGTAGAAGTCTGTTGCTTCTTCGAAGTCATATTCTGATGCGCCTGACCTGGGTAGATTGGAAGGTTTATAACGATTACACCTTAAGTTCTGACTTTGGACAACTTTCTACGAAGAAGTGCTTTTCTTTTCTTTTTTACAATCTTAAATTAAATTAAATATAAATAACATAAAAATAAAATAGATTTCAATTTACGAAAAAAATTAATTTGGATTCTCTGGCAAACGCATTTAAAGGCTTCAACAGCAACTAAAGATATTGAAACTCGAGGTCCTAGGCAAAAACCAGAGACGGATATGCAACGTGGTTGGTCCTGATCTGGCATCCCGTCTGCAGTCGCTATCTCACAAACGTTCTGTGGCTTCCCTCTGTTTTTTCTACAAGTACTTACATGGCAACTGCTACGACGAGATACTTTCACTGGTTCCCAAACTGCATGAATTTAAGCGTGCTACTAGTTTGGCATCTCGATCCCACCCTTTCACTGTGGAAACGACTAAATGTAGCCATCTCTTCTACTCAAACAGCTTCTTATCTCGCACCTCCCGTCAGTAGAACTCCCTTCCTATCATTTGCTTCCCTGATAGCTATAATCTTCAAATATTCAAATGTAATGTCAATCAACATCTTCTGATGCCTTGACCTTGGTCCTTGTCCTTCTCTTTATCCTTTTCCCAAACACTCCTCTTTACTCTTACTCTCACTCTCTGTAACCCCTTGCCTGTTAGTGGCACCCCCGCCTTGCTTGGTGTGATTTGCTTTAAAAAAAAAGACATGAAACTATTTTTTCCATAAAGTTCAGTTAATTGGGTTACAGCAATCACAGGTTTTAAAGTTTCTACGAAGAAATTTTTTTTAATTACCAAAATATACTCTAAAATGAAATGTAATATATAAAAAAAAAACATAAAATATATTTCAAAGTACGAAAGTTTAATCTCCTTGAAGACAATGACAGATAATGGTGGCTTTAGCAGTGAGAAGCGTAATGACAATAATGAGATAATGAGTCTCACTAGGTGCCTCACATATGAAGCCTTTTTACAAAAATAAGATAAACTTAATAAATATTTCTTCTATGGCTCGAGTTCGAGTCGCGCCATGATCGATTTGTCAGTAAGATGACCTTGATGTTATTGGCTTGTGGGGGTGATACCAGCGTGCGACATATTTGGAAAGTGCCTGAAAAACATACCACGGCCTGACCGGAGCCTTGTGAGTGTAATTGGTCAAACGAACCTGTTCCAATGCAGTCGATGGTCGCTAAGTCATCGTGACTGAGGATCTGTACGTACTTTGTTCAACTGTTGATCACGCTTGATTATGTACTCTCGCTAAGAAACTGTTAAGTCCCACTCAGGATAGTTTTAGTATAAACAACACGTGGGTGTTAAACAAAACAAAAAGAAAAGGTGTCTGCAAAAGGGATTGGTTAGCTGCTCTAGAAAACGGGTGTGCACAGAAACGGGTAGCCGGTTATTATTATTATTTTAGTAGTAGTAGTAGTAGTAGTAGTTTTAATATCTTACAAAGAAGTCAAGGCATTTAATTGTTAATAAAGAAAAGGAATCTGTGGAGAGCCATAAACTGAAGAGACATGGCATTTAAGGAAATTAGTTAATTTGACGAAATGAACACATGTCCTACGGAATCCCTTCTTTTTGCAGAAGTCCCAAATGGCTCATCAGGAGATTATGGATTTGAAGTATGTATTTATTGAATTATATCTTATTTGAAAAATCATCACAATTTAAATATAAGGGGGATTTTACAAAAAAAGATTTCAAGTGCTGACTTTTTTTTGAATCTACAATTTTTCTGTATTTATTACAACAATAAACGCACGCATTATACCAAACTATATTTTCTGGGAGGACTTGAAAGTTCATAAACTTTATCGAGAGATTAACGTTTATGATCCACTGTAGCCATTGCTTGTGCTACAAATGTACATAAAACAACCCCTTTTTTGTTAGGTCTTGATTTTCTTACGATCAGAAAATCATACGTAAATAAGCCATGGAAAAAGGCCATAACTAAAGTACAAAGAATATTCTCAGCTAGATGGTTACGTTAAACGAAAGGAAAAAAGGTTACGCTGACATGATGGACACAAAGTAAGGGTCTCGTGAAGCATTATTTTATTATATTGCAAATAGAATACTTGCAAAAAAACTAACAGTTTTAAACGTTTCTTAAACTAGTATTCTAGAAACTTGTTAGGGAGTTTCTTGACTTACCTTAAACAATTTATCCGTTAAACCGCATACTTTCGTTAACTGGTTTTCACTAAATGCCATTGTTTACGTCAATTTATATATTTTATTACAGATAAGTTTTTATATCGTTATACACCTACATACGCTGGTATTCGGCTGCTTTTAAGGTACAAAAGGATCGCTAATAATATTTTATCTTAAAGTGAGGAACATTTATTCACACATTTTTCGATTCATATGATATTTCTAATTCAGAAATAGACATGCAGGTTAATAATACTCGAATTTAAAATAAAGGATTAAGCGATTATTTCGTTTTAATTCCAATTAAAGCCTGCCTATCTATCTATCTATCTATCTATCTATCCGAACCTGATCATATCGAATTCATATTCATATATATTTCAGTCTGTTATCTCTCTCAATCTATTTATCTTCACAGCTACTTTTCTATCTATCTATCTATCTATCTATCTATCTATCTATCTATCTATCTATCTATCTATCTATCACAGCATCTTTACTTCTATCTATTTATATCAGCATCTTTACTTTTATCTATCTATCTATCTATCTATCTATCTATCTATCTATCTATCTATCTATCTATCTATCTATCTAAACATGATCATATCCAATTCCTTTCCTGGTTATATATTTCAGTTTGTTACGCCTTTTTATCTATCTATCTATCTATCTATCTATCTATCTATCTATCTATCTATCTATCTTAGCCTCTTCATCTACCTATTTGTCTCTCCACAAAGGTGTGTGTATATTAGTGTATGTGTATTTATGCATATATATATATATATATATATATATATATATATATATATATATATATATATATATATGCATTTGTGTCCTTATAAGACAGCATTGTTTTCTTTTCAGTCAGCGCTGTTGTTATATATATGTGTATATATATATATATATATACAGGCGTACATTTGTTGATGTTGTTACTGATGCATCAGAGTCCCTCCTTGTAGAGACGCTCGTTTTCCCATCCCTTATCAGTCGTCTTATCTGCCCAGATCTTCACCTGGTATCATCTTACGGATCCATCCCGAGTCGAATGCAGACAGCAGATAACACCGATCTCTCTACACTGATTATTATCTCACCAAATGTAGACCAGATGTTAATACACACACACACACACACACAAACACATACACACATTGGCGTACACCAATTTATACGCATACATGTATACATTTGCAATCTTTTCTTTTCGCCAGTCAGTTTGTCTCTCAATCTCTTTCTCGTATATATATATATATATATATATATATATATATATATATATATATATATATATATATATATATATATATATATATATATATATATATCGGGGGATAACAGACATAACAGACAGTGATGCCCGGGTGGCATAGTGAATAGGAGCATGGAATGAAATTTCGAAGAGCTGCGTTCGAATTAGAGTCGAGTTCGTTATGTTCAATTTCATTAGAAAGGTATGAATCGATCACTTGTCCTCTCACCTATGGGTTAAATAGTACGACAGACTGGGCTCTTTAACCATGGTCGGCAGCCAGTCTGAGCGAAAGACAACTCTGATTTTCAAACCTGAGGAGGCCGGTTTGAGGTACCTTGTGCCACACTATGTGTGCCATTTTTCTGTATCCAGTTCTTCTGAAAGGTGTGTCTGATTCATCACTATAATTAAATAATAAGTGCGGGTAATCTGTCATTTCTAGGGGTTGAACTGTTTTTATACGTTGAAGTCGCCGGGAGATTCCATCACACACACACGCACACACACACTCATAATGATCAACAATATATATATATGTGATCAGCATGATATTGATCAAAATATCATTATATTATTACTACAGACACACACACAAACATACGCACATATATATATATAAACTTATTACTTCAAACGTTAGTATAGTGGATATTCGCATTTGAAATAGCCGCCCCATTTTTTAAATTTTAAACTCTGTTTATTACATCTATCGACTTGCGATTTGGATAAATCTTAATATATATAATTTTAACTCATTATTTCTTATTAATTATTTAGGGTATTTTGGATCATTAATTATTTTTACCCAATGGCCTTTAGAATAATTTAAAATACAAAAGTTCCCTCCTCTCCAATAGCCGTTAGGATAAGGCAATAAAACAGAAATACCCGACCTTGCTACCCATAATACCCGATTAATCAGCATATATAAATAGTCAAGCTACCACTGAACACACATGGCCTGAAGATTTCGTTCAAGCATGAAACAGACTGTCGCCACTTCGGATTATAGGAGGCTGCTTACAGTACATGCTGTTCTAAACGGTCTCCCAGCTAAGTACTGAGCGGCTCGACTTTGCTTAACTTCGGTGATCGAAAGAGAATTACAGTAGCAAACGCTTGTGCAGAAACAACCACACTTTTTGAATACAGAGAACAGGTGCACATAGTGCGTCCTCGGGTTTTAAATTCAAAGCTATCCTTCTCTTAGCCAACCAAGGCTAAGGAGACTCTTCTGCCCTACTATATAACGCATAGCTAGAGGAGACGAAGAGATTGATTCATATATTTCACAAGGGTCTTTTTACGTAAGTGAATGCAACGAACTCAACTGGAATTCGAATTCAGAGAGCCGAGTTCGAATTCGGAGACACTATCTCATTCCAACACCCACATTGGGTGTATTGGGATAGCCATTTTTTATTCATACATGTTTGGTTGCAGAATGTTCTTTGTTTAAGTTCTTTTTATTTAACTTTTCTCCGTTTCGGGACATTTTTCTGGTTTCTAAGGAGAACTTGAGCATAAATTTTCCATTCTCTTTCGGCTAACACTAGTTATTATCAAATAGTTGTATTTGTGTGTGAGCGTATTGATAGGATTGTATTTATATGCATGGTGTATTTTCGGTAATTTTCATGCATTGCTTCTTTGATCAAAAGATTATGAATTAAACTGATAGAGTAACATAATCTTTTAATAAAACTTCTGAAGATAAAAAAAAAGCATTAGAAACCTAAAGTTTGTTTTTGTGTGTATGGAAGTTCTCTGCACACCAAAGTTCGAGTTTGGCGCCAAAACTTCATCAGACGCGACCCATGCTGTTGAGTCGGTTGTCTCTTACAGTTCCTGCTCGTCAGACGTGTCTTTGTTAATCGCTGATATTATTGTTTTGCTTTGTTTTGTTTTTTAAAAGAGAATTTTTTTGTAAGCCTAAGATATCCTTACTGGTAAGAGTGAGAAGCAAAAGAAAAAGTCATTATCTATACATTAGAAAATAGACTTGCGGCAGAAGCTTGATCATAGTGTATCTGCAAGGCGCCTGACTAAAGATTACGTTGATGGAACCGCCATATGACAGAAAGAGAAGTTAATGTTTAGCAGTTACACTGATGCTCAAAAACTAATGAAAGATAGGAAAACATTACATTTGGACAAAAAAAAGGAAAATAAGTGAAGATTCTCATGAAAATTTGGCGTATACTTGGAGACATATTATGTATATACTATCAATCTGTAGGCAGAGTCTGTTTTCCATTGGTTGTAGTTGATTTAGCAGGAAATAGTAGTCTTTTTGTTTAAGAAGTCCTTATATGTTTGATTACGAGGAAATACAGAAACAATATACCGGACAAGTTGTTTGGTTTTAGTGAGAAAAAATAAAGATAGGACAAAAGAGGAAACAATAACAGCCTCATGTGCAATGGAAAAACTTTTCAATTTTCAATTCTTACTTCTTTAAATAATGATCTCCATTCATAATTGTGATTGTTATCTCAATATTTTGTTAATGTTATTAAGCTCAAATATTCAACGATGCAATAGGGGAGTTCCCACGAATATTTTATAAACGTGAAACTCACAAGGAGTTTATTCAATTATTAACGTAAAATTTAGGATTCATCGAAAAATTCAAATAAAAGACAGTGACATTATCACGCTTATTTCTCGTAATTATAATTTACGATTTATGGAACTTGATTTAGGCTCGTAAAAAAATATTAATGCTTAATGTTTTTAAAATTATTTTGTGTTTAATATTATTTTTAGGATTTTAAGATGAATATTTTAGTTTTGGACTTATTTATAAGATAGTTTCGAGCTGATTTAAACGAGTTTGGTAGCATGAACGACATCCATATGAAAATCAAGATCTGACGAGACTATTTAAGGACCTGAGTCGTGTTTTCATGTTAAGGTTTTCTAGCAGTCCGCGTTGTTGGGAGAAACTGCCTCTAGCGCGGACTATTCTATTTTCAATCTTATATACTAAATGTGTTATAACTGATCCATATAGCATATATAGTATTTGCAGTATTTCTTACTTACTAATTCCATATCCTGGATTTTATGGTGAATTCTGGGTATGTGCCATTACTGCTTTCATTCCAATTCCAGATCATTGTTTCTGTTTTGGATATATTTATTCTGAGTTCTATTTCTTGAAACTCTTGGTAGAGGATATTGATTTTCTGTTCAAGATCATTCTTATCCCAACTATGAATATAATATAACCACCCACCCCTCATCACCATTACGTTGGCCTCGGGAGGGAAAGCTGGATCACTGTCTTCTAATCGTAGATTTGTTTTGGGTGTAGTGTCTTCTACTATGTGTCGTGTCCCTTCAAGATATCGGAGATCATGGCTCTCCACAACTTCCTATACTTTGGGGCTCCTAGCATTTTTCTCTCTTTGCTAAGGTCCAGGCAAATTCGTCAGGTAAGTGGCTCACTGCCTTCTATTTTTTGCCATCACTTTGCTCCGTGAGGGTTAAGTTTTCCAAGCCCTCCTCCCTCATTATGTGTCCAAGTAATTTTAGCTGTCTTTTCCTGATTCTGACTAGATGTGTTCTTTTTGTTACCATTTTCTTTAAGACTTCCTTATTGCGTACTCGTTCCGTCCATGGAATTTTCAGTATTCTTCTATAGAACAACATTTCTTCAAAGTTCCGTGGAGAGATTGTCCAGCATTCGTAGCTATAAAAGAGGATAGACAACACAGCAATCCAGCACATTTTTCTTTGTTTCCAACGAAAATTTTTCGTTTCTTAGCACCTTTCTTAGCTTTTGGAATGCTTATTTCGCTAGTCCAAAGCGTGTTCGGATCTCGGTGTCGCATTTTCTGTTGAAACACTTTACAGATATTTAAACTCCTGCACTTGCTTGGTGTTGATATCTCTAGTTTGTTCGGGCTTTTTCTCTTGCCGTTTACTAAACTGTCTTCTTACAGTTGAGTCTTTTTTCTTGTTTTCTTCTACTATGGGATGTATGACCTTTAACATACTGCATTATTCACTACTTGCCTTTCCATTGCATTGTTTTTCAAGGCTCCTCTACTGAACTACTTAATTTCAGTCATCTTCTGTTGCCATAGCAGGGTATGACAACACAGCTGCAAAATTCAAATATACAATCATTCATTCATCTGCAGTGACGCGAGAAAAGTTTTGCTTTGCAAACAAAATCACTTCCAGAATGTTAAAGGTTAAACAATCAGTGCCTATCCCTTCACATATATGTGCTTGTAAATGCGCAGAGTGTTTATAGGAAAAGATTAAATAAACTGGGGATTTCATTTCTTCCTTATCACGTTTCCAGTGAGGTTTGAAATGTTTCCGTATTGTGTTCCTCGACAGACATTTAAAATTTTGTAGCCGATAAATTTCTTTTATTAGATCGATGCATTTGGAACTTGGAGGGCAGTTTCTAATTGGTAAGAAGAGGAG